ATTATGAAAAACAATTTGCATATTTGAATTCTCCATATTCCAAAGCACTTACTGATATTTTTTTGAGAAGATCTTATAATTATCCATAGAGATAATTCCAGATGTACTTGGTTTTCTACTGGTTGCCATGGGTGAGCCGCATCCCGGTGATGAGCCACTTCTGCGGGAATGACGTTAAGCTATAGGCAGGGCCAAGGCAGGCCACTCTGATGATGAGCCCAGGCAGATATAGTCCAAACTCAACTGGCCTGCAAGTAGGATTTTTAGAGCAGATTGTTTTAAGAGTAGCTTGATTCCTTACAACTTTACCTATCCACAACCAGCTCAAAGAAGTCCAGGAAATCTACCTCCAGAATCTACAATGCAGTCCTATCTCACAATCCTTCCTTCTGATTCAGTTTCTTCAGCAGGAATCCATCAGTGAATGTACCCGCTATGGTACATGTTGACCAAGAGTCCTATTAGACCTCGGGGGGTTTTCACCAGCCACGAGAAAATCCATGTCTCTACCTGCATGGAGGATCAGTGCCTAATACTATTAGTGATATTATTGATACTTGTTCCATTCTGTTAGCACCAGTGGGTGGAATTTGCGAAGGGACTATGTGACTTACTGTTCTCACAGGAGTAACTCGGACTAGTTTAGTGGAATGGGGGATGAGCTGAGTGGAAACCAAGAATCTGAGGGGGTTGTAAGCCCATATTCATAGGCTAGTCCTGGCTTGGCTAGGCCATATAGGCTGGGCTGGCCTATCAGGTGGCAGGTACTTAGCCTATACGGCCTATAGCTGGGCCTGGCCAAGCCAGGCCCAGGCTTTTCAAAGCCTGCAGGCTCCGGCCGGGTTAAATCCCCCATAGTTGTGGCAGGCCGGGCCCGGCTTCGGTTCAGCCTGACCTACCTGGCCCGTTGGGAACACTGCGAACACATCCTCGATCCTCGCAATAGTCTCCTCGATCTGGCTGACAGAGTGGCCCTTTATGCGCTCCATAAGAAGAAACTTCCCTGGGTACTCGCCACAGTCAAACACCCCATAGCATATCGGAATGCTATACCCTTGTTCATACTTGAGCAATGCGTACCCCTTTGCCTTACCCCAAAGCTTCTCCTTCTCTTCAAAGTACTTAATCACCGTGCCAGAACAGGGATCTGGCATGCAGGGACTTTCTCCGATGCCAGCATATCCTTCACCAAAGGCCGCCAACGGCATGGATTTTTTCACTTCTTCAATCTCAAAGTGAACACAGAGACAGTGCTCCCAAGCGTCCAGTCCCTCCGTTCTTGGCTGAGGACGGGACGGACACCGGTTTCTGGAACTCCGCCCTGGACGGACGCCCGTCCTGTGGTCCGTCCTAACCACTACCCGGGACGGCCGGCTGGGCCCTATAGGTGTCTCACCTGCAAATGGCCCTGCAGATGAGAGCCGGGCCCTACAGATGACGGTCGGGCCCTGCGAATGACTCGGATGGCCGGGCCCTATAGATGACGGTCGGCCCTTGTAGATGACGGCCGGGCCCTACAGATGACGGCCGGGCCCTGCCAATGACGGCCAGGCCCTATAGATGATGGCCGGAAGATGCCATTTGTATTAAGACTCCCGGGCCCGGGCGTCAACCCCTTGGACGGCGGTCTATATCAAAGACGGACGCCATGCCATGGCGTCCTTACCCACCCTGCCCGGGACGGTTGGGAACACTGCGCAGAGACGGCCAGTTAGGGATAGCTCCAGCTTTGCTGGGCACCTGAGACCTACCAAAGAAAGAAATCCAGAATCGTGGAGCTTGGTCGGGGTCTTATCTGCCTTGGTAAATTTACATTTTCTCATTTCAGGCCTGGCGGGATAGGTAGTCGTGAATATTAGGTGCATTCGAGGGAGGATTCCTGGGAGTAGGTTGCGGGAATCATGAGACCTTGTCCTTGTGCGAGGGCTGCCAGATGAGTTACAAGGGAGTGGGCTGGGGGATAAGACATCATGATAATCTAGTGGCCCGGAGGCAGAAGTGACCACAGCCCAGCCAAAGTCACTAGATTTGTAAGTCGGATTTGATCTCAAAGTGGTATTCAAACAAACTTACCGCAGAGTCTCAAGCCTGAGCTTGTTTATTAGTCCTTCAGCAAATGTATAGAGGAAGAGCTCCTGTTGGGTCATCAAAAATTGTGATCCCGTGGTGCCAGCAGCAGCAAGTGCATGTGACTGTCGCCGCAATGTCTCTCGGGTCCTCAAAATGGAGGTAGATGAGAAATTTGTCATCCTGAATCAAGATGTAGTGGGTGTCATTCAGAAGTGCATATTTTCGAACCTGTCGACTAACTGTCACCCAGTTATCACTTTGTGAGTAATTTGAGGTAACAAATTGGCAAGCTCCCGGTGCTCTGAATTTAAGAGAGAGGAAGGACTCTGAATGATAAACGCCGCCAGATTGGCGGAGAGTCGAGATAGGCATATCAGGACCAGTCTTTCTTTCCAAGGTCCTTTCGGACTCTAGGTGGAGGTCAAACTGGCGTTCTTTGGACACCATGGCCAAAGCGACAGGCCGGCAGGCCAGAATGAGGTTGGTACTGTAGAAGAGTTTGACGTCGGCTTCTGACCCCAGAGCAGTACTGGTGATGCATGACTTGAGATCAGCGAAGACAAATGGAAGAGACAGCAAATAGACTTTGAAATTCGCAACGTCTCGGGGGTTTACAAGGGACAGGGTTTCTTTCAAGATGGGATCAAAAGTACAGTTTTGCGTAGAGGACTCGTATGCTGGAGATACCAAAGTGAATGGGGGCGGAAAGAGTGCCAGCTGGCTAAGAGTGCTAGCGAGCACGTTGGAAGTTGTTTCAGTCAAGATGGAGCTTGATGGAGCGGTATCAGAGAAGTGGTAGATGGTGAGGGATCGGAGGAGAGGTGGTATATATACTGTTTCTACAAGGGGTGCCAAGGACTCGGAGTTTTGGCCGACGTTTTTGGCCGACATTTTTAGCCGACATTTTTGGCCGATGTGTTTAGCCAATGTTTCTCGCCGCTGTTTTTCGCCGACCTTTTTTGCCGACCTTTTTTGCTGACCTTTTTTGCCAACCTCTTTGGCCAACGTCTTTCGCTAGCGTCTTTTGCCGATGTCTTTTGCTGACATCTTTTGCCGACATATTTTGCAGATGTTTTTTGCTGACCGCGCTAAGAGTACCTGGTCGCCGATCTGCTTGGCCAGTTATTGCTATCCGATAATGTGTCAATGTGAGTTTATACGTGATAAAACCCTGCTGCTGGTAAGGTAGGATCCGTGCTATCCGGCGTACTACAAGAAATACCAAAACATGGCATGTCGGATCCCATCAGAATTTGGTATAGGCGCTCAGACGGGCCCAGATTATCACGGGTCTCTTTTGTAGAATACATGTCCCTGATACACAAACTTGATATATAGTATTCTGTAAATATACCAAGGTATTATATATCCCACTATTTCTATTTGTACACCTCCTTGCCTTCTGTATTCATATTTGTGCAGTCTACTATGGCCTATAGGCGCTGGGTTATCATACTACTAGTTGTAAGAATGTACAAAGTTAGCCACTGGCAGAAAGAAAGACAATCCAATACTGGTACTTTTCAATGAAAATTTGCCCTTATCGAACAGTTCTACTACTTATTCCCATCCTCCTGTATGTGTTGCTATCGTCTCATGCAGTCGAAGTACTAAAAGATAGCAAGTCCTTTATAATTCTCACTTATCTTTGGTCACAAACACGTTCCCGAGGAACCATTGACACTAATCACTTTTGACGCTGGTCCTTGATTCTAGCCACGCTATTATCAAGCACCCATCTACAGGTTTACTAGATGGCACAGGTGTATGAAGCAATTCAAGGCGACACGTTGTGCCAATCGGCTTTGGTGACGGATTGGGATCCTGAATGTAACTTAACCCCATCCAACGTTCAAGGACCCCTAATGCGTCAAAATCCCATTTGGATGCTTGCCTCAGATGCTCCGCAGTGGAGAGCACTTTAGCTTCAATTTGTCCTAGTAGTATGCTACAAGCGTCTTGGTCTGTTCCGCAGCCAAGTTTACCTAGCACCCCACACTTTCATTCTTGACTCGGAGCGACTGTTTGGGAGTATTAGACGATGTAAACTCTGTGTTCTCAACTGCCCTGTGCATCCTAGACAGGGTCGGTAAGGACGGTAAGACATGGGGTCCGTCTTAAATAAAGACCGCAGTCCTCGGAGTTGGCGCCCGGGTTCGGAAGTCCCCTATCTTCCAGCCATTATTTGCAGGCCCCGGCCCTCATCTGTACGGCCCAGCTCTTATCCGTAGAGGCATTCAGAGCAATTCTGGCCATGTGAGGGAGTGCCAAATTACTATTATTTCAATATAAAACTTTGGTTTCATTGTAACTACAAACCTACTATACTGGGAATAAATCAAGCAGGTAAGACCTATTGGGCCCTGTTGGCTGTCCCGGGCAGAGACAGCACGGACCACAGGATGGGCGTCCATACAGGGCAGAGTTCTAGAAACCGGCGTCTGTCCCATCCAAAGCCCAGGATGAACGGACTGGACACTTGAGAACACTATCTAAACTCAAGACAAAACCTCATGCAAAGCAAGCTAAGAGTACTACCATTAAAGTGCACTAGAGCCAGTATTATGACTTCTGATCAAACAAGTGCGATGCCAAAACATGTCACTCGCAACCACTTGTAGAGTTTTGGAAAAGAGAGGAAAACGGAGTCATCTGGAGTGCTAAACACCTTAGTTACTCCCATTTAAGTCAGAGCCCAGCCCAAAACTCGCTAATAGATTCCCAGTTCATTACCACTATCGATACATAATTGCAATCTGGATAAGGTTCCTTCCTTGCTTCCGCTCCTTGGTCAAAGGAAAAGCAAAGAACAAACGATGGAAAAAGTGGGGTAAATAGAGAAGACCCCCTCATATATCAACCAAGCATATGTTATTACTCATAGGTAGAGCAAAACCGGCACCCCTGGTATGCCTGCCTACCCAACCCTCCTACTTTAATGCACCGATATAATTGACACCATTCATGCCATTAACCTTGGCAACCCCGTTGACACCATCGACACCATTAACCTCAGCTGCATCCGTAGCCCTAAGCACCTCCTCCCTCTTACAAACAAATATCTCAAATGTCCTCCACAGCACCTCCTCTCAAGTCTTGAGCCCACTACCAACAACATGGATTGCATAAGTCCCATCGATAACTGGACTTGTGATAAATATCTCCACATCGGCATTCCCTGCCTCATACACAACCTTGGTCAAGCGATTACTCTCCTCCCTAAGTGCCTCCTTGACCGAGAATACCATCGGCCCAAATGCCGGTGGTATGACAATCTTGAATATGTCTGCATGATCACGTACCCACTGTGCAAAACTCTCCCCATACTGGATTGAGTTCCAAATATGCCCCTGCAGTCCCGAGACTCCGTACAAGCGCATTACAAACCAGATCTTAAGTGCACGGAACCGGCGGCCAAGTGGGATTTGCCAGTCTCTATAGTCAGTGACTAGGCCCTGCTCTGAGAATGGGTTTCGGAGGTAGGAGTGAGTTAAACAGAGGGCGTCTAACAGGTAATTGCAAGTCTCGACATATGGCATGAGCAATTAAAGTTTGTTAGAAACTATTTGTACATGTTCATATCGAAGCTGTCGAAACGCGCAAAGAGGGCAGAGACGAGCTGGTATTGCTCAAGGATGAGACATGTGCCAGCGAATGTTGCGTCGACATGGACCCATGCCATTGGGTTTAAGTAGTTCCGAATAAGCTGCTAGGGTTGCTTACCTGAATGGGGCTCGGCAATTTTCCTAACCTCTGCTTCTTGGGTCTCCACGGTAGTGCGCAGCACGAACACTTAGTATCACTATAAGGACCCCTATGCGGTTAGCGGATACCCAGGGGCCATGCGGCATCCTACCGAACATAAGATAGGGGATGGAAGGGCCCACCATGCTGGGCAATATTGACTTACAGGCCTCTTGCTCCGGGTACCCTCTCCCCCTCCGGTGCAGTCCCAGTCTACCTATCCCAATTCCTTCTCCTGGCATTTTATTCGATGCCGATGCCGGGACCGAGTGTCAGAAACTAATATAATCTACGTCTTCCAAAAAGCGCAGGTTCATTTGTATTCATGCGCTGGATGAGTGTCTAACAGCGCATCGAGTCAAGATTCTTGATTCTCTCAACCAAATCCTCCGAAAGCCTCCGGGGATTAGAAGATTTGTTACCGGGAGACCGCGCATATGATCCAAGATCGGGAGGCGCCTTTTTGGAAGAGTAAGGAGTTTTCCCGGGAGTCCGAAAAGCGATGATATTGATAGATATCTTGGCACAATGCTGGATGAGGACACAACCCCGGAGGCGATGGATTGTACTCTGGAGGCAGACATCCTAGAGAAAATTCCTGAAGACACTTCTTAAATGTACGTAATAAGTTAGTAGGGTCATCGGGGGGGCTACTTCACATTATCAGAGTCTGATAGATGGGTGCTTGGATTCCTGCTTGTCGCGCGGAATATAGATTCGATCCATCAAAAAACCAGAATACATCGGAGGTGGCAGAGGCCTAGCTCAATGGCCGATGGCTTGGGATCAGAGGATGTCTATGGGGCAATACTGAGTAGGATACGGGACAGGGTGGGGAGAAAGAGAGGCTCGGTATGGCCGCTTTGATGGGGATATCCCGCTCGGAACGGCCTTGAGGGTAGATGAACGGTGTGACGCTCTTTCGGTCGAAGCCGAGTCCCCGGGTCTCGATGCCGACGGTGGTCCTGCAATTGAGACATTGCTAGCGTGACGTCAAGGACTCATTCTCGTGGACAAGGAGGTTTCCATGGTCCGGCTGATCCACATTCCCCTCCAGGAGTATCTCCGGGCTCATGGACAACTTTTCTGTACAGTTCGCCCGACAATGGTGGAAACCCGCTTAAGCTAACTGAATTTGCATCGGGTCGCGGCCCTTTCAGCCAGATCTTCACCCGATCTCTATTACACACATTCCTCAGATATTCGTCTCTCTATTGGGGGAGTCCATTCAAAAACGGAACATTGCGCGAAATTGCTGCCTTGGAGGATGTTTGCCGGGTATGATAACTACTTATCCACTAGAGCCCTCCTGACAGAATAGTACCCATACTCGCTCCCTGTTGATTTTGATAGGCTTTCTTGCTTCAGTAGTCTACACCGTGCATCCATCTTTGGGATTGTTGAGGCTGTGGCTGGGTTGGCAGAGGTGGAGGGTTGTGATATCAACCAAGTGGACTGGGTGGGTAGTTCATGTCTCATCTAGGTTGCCCGGCACGGGCACTAGTGGCCGGTGAAAATACTTCTTGGGCCGGAGGACATCGACTCCAACAAACTATTCAACGCCGGATCGGCGAAGGCTATCGCGATAGCGAAACGAACCAACGAACGAACGGCGAAACGACGGCCCAACGAGCGAACTATAGGCTATGAAACACTAAAACTAAACACCCAGTGAAACGGTGCAACCAATGGCATGCAACGAACACCATGAAACGAAACGCCAAGATCTCACACAGGGAACGATCGCACAATTCACAAGGGGGGGGGCAACTCTTCATTTCGTCAAGCTCTCTCTATCGTGCATGCTCAACTAACTAACGGTAAAGACAGAAGTACGTATCAACCACAAAACAGCGAAGTCCAAACTCCCCCAGATACGTCTCCCACATACTAGCTAACAAGAAAGGCTAACAAAGGAACGACAAACTCTCGCTATCCATAGCCTCCAGCCCTCCTTATCGCCTTTCCACTTTCCTTCGAGCCTTCCGGCTGTCTTTCAGGTGGAAGTATTCCTCCAAGACTCCCGCGAATTCCTGCGGCCAAAGTGCTTTCCCGAAAAAGCCGAACCGCGCCCGAAACCAAAGCGTGCCCCCAGAGACTATTCGACCAAACAAACAAACTATCGTGAGAACATTCCGAGCAGCACCTCGCAGTTTCCAACAGTCTTTCAGGCCGGCTTCCACCCCCCCCCCTCCTCGTGTGCACCTCCGATGTACCATCTGTTGACGCATATCTCCAGCCAAGGCCTCGTGCTGGCATAAAATTAGTTGTATTTGGAGTTATTGATAAGATAGTCGAGAAAAGAGTGATAGTCGGCGGCGTGTCATGTTATGTACTGCAACTATAAATTTATCTTACCGCGCTGTCCAATTGATGATAGTAATTTACCAAACCGTATGTATTATTGGACAAACTTGGGTCACTCTGTGATGGATTCCGAGCGTAATAGAGTTGCCAAGCGATAGAATTCTTAAGATAACATTACAGGAGTAACGGAAACATCAGGAGCCACCGACAGCCAACTGCACCAAATCCCGGTGTCCTAAAAATGATATCATAGCCCCCACCGAAAATAGTATTTAGGAAATAACACAACCCATAGCATTCAAAAATCAACCTGGCATCGAGCCAGTAGCCAAATCGAATGAAGAAAGGGATTGAACGAATAGCCAATAGCAGACAGTTAACCTATTGCGCAGTTAGTAATGCGCGTAAGTACGCGCTGAAAAAAAAAAAAAACAGAAAAGGTATAATACTCACCGCACACCAGATTGGCCTTTACCAGCAAGATTGTGCCCCGACTGGGCTAGGTGCTCGGCCCTGGCTGGTCCTGGATGCAAAACTAGCATAGGTTCAACAATAATAAACCGGGCATGTTAGGGGAGTGGACTAGAACAACTCACATGCTGGAAGAAGGGTTAATATACATTGCGGCTAATATAGTTAATAAAGAAAAAGGAATGTCACAGACTTTCTATGTTGCCCAAAGTTGTAAGGTGAGCTGTGAATCAATGGCGGAACCAAGAAGAGGGGACAAAGGATGTACTAACGAGCTGCAACGCAAGACCAAGTATTAAAGTACTAGGACAAAAGGGATCGTCCGATTGGTGGTTACCAAGCAACACCTCAACAACCCCACCTCCTTAATCAACCACTCCTCAACAACCATGCCTCTCAAAAAGACAGGCTACCTTACAGAGTTTGAGAGAAGGCAAATTTTTGCTCTGAGGAAGTAAAATATTGCTTTTTCTGAGATTGGAGAGCTCTTTCATCCACTCAAGAGTACAGTTCAAAGTTTTTACAATAAGTTTCAAATGATATGTAATGGAAAAAACTGCCCATTTACTGAAAGACCTAAAATTATTGATATCAGGACCTGTTGCTACCTAGTCAGAGAGTCTGAGAAGGTATGCTACTAACCCTTATCAGAATTGTACAATGATGTTGCATCCTATGCCTCTGTTAAGACAATCAAGTAAGTATTAACTTTAGTTAATATAAAGAGGTCAAAGTGGGGAAAAGAGTATTTCTGAAGGATGAACATACTATCAAGAAGTTGGACTGGGTAAAGGAGTATAAGAAGAGACTAAAGAAAAACTTTGAAAGTGTCATCTTTAATAGTAAATACATAGTTGAAAAGTCTAAAGATTTTAAAAATATTTAGATGCTCAGAATACCTTAGAAAAATTGCCTAAGGACTGTATTCAAAGGGTAATGAAAGGGTCTAAGATAAAGCTGATTGTTTGAGCTTGCATTTGGGGTAAAAATAAGGGTACTCTGATTCCTATTTTGGACAGGAGTATGGATAGATTTATATATATTGAAGTTTTAAAGAATGGCCTAGTTGGTGTCTGGCAGGAGGTAAAGGACACAGTTAGAGATCCTATATTTCAGCAGGAAGGTGTAAAAACATATACTGCAAGAGATACCATAGCTTGGTTTGCAGAAAACTATATACAGGTTATGGAATGGCCACCCAATTCCTCAGACTCAATCTGATTGATCCCTGTTGTAGAAGGGTAAAGGAAAAGCTACACCAACACCTTCCTAACATTCATAAGACTAAGAGGAGTTAGAACAATATTAGAGGACATCTAGCAGAAACTCTTAATGTGGTTTGGAACTAGGATATTGAAGGAGAATTCTTGGAAGGGCTATGGGAGTCAAGGCCTAGGAGAGTGGCTACTTTTTTAGATGCAAAGAGATGGTATACAGAATAATGATCTTTTTTCGTTGCAATTTCACATACAGTTTTTATTATATTTAGTGGATATCTATCTAAATTTTCAGTTCATTCTAAGTAGTTGTGGTTGCACAGGTAGTAAGTTTAGAGTGGTTGTGGGGTTGCCGTTGCTGTGCCGGACGATCCCTTTTGTCCCCGTACTTTAGTTACGACTCACAGGGGAGAGGATATGCGTGCATACAAACTAAGTTGGGAAAACAGTGATTTGTTAGCCTTAGAGGTAGAATATGGATAGTCGGAGTAATTACCTCCTGGGAGTGAGGGTAAATAAGAAGTTAGTAAAGAGGGAAACGGCATAATGAAAAGCTGGAGGATGTTGGCTACACACGACCTGCAAGGGAAACGTAAGTCTGGAGGACCAAGAAACGGGTGAGAAGATGTAGGACCGCTTACCGCCTGAAGGAACAAGAAGGTGGGTATCAGCAGTTATAAATGATAAGAAGGGAGGTTAATCTAGTCCGCCTACATCCTAAAACAAATAGTGAGCAGGATGTCAGCGACAGCGCCGCTGTAGGAGTGTGGGTGATCACGTTCACTTACAAACTACAATACTCAGAGAGCCGGAGGTCAGCTATTGCCTCATCGCAGAATCGTGGTTGATCGTGTTCACTTACAAGCTACAACACTCGGCGAGCCGGAGGTCAACCATTGCCTGATCGCAGATCCGTGGTTGATAGTGTTCACTTACAAACTAC